GCAAGAAACAGATAGATAATATTCCATTAAATTCAAGAGCCAAAGTTCATCTTTAGTTTCAACTTCCAACCTACTAGATCCTCCACCCAATAAACATAGCATTATGGGGGAAGAAAAGACTCATTTTGCAGAAGGGCCTTAGGGCTTTTTAAAGGCAAAAATGGAATGCATCAAAAATAAAAGCATAGCAAAACTACCAGATAATTCCAATCAGCGGTCAGCATGTATTTAACATGGTTAGAGATCATGGATCAATGATATTGAGCAAAAATAGCAAGCAACCATAAAATCACGTGAACAGTTTCAATTTGCTATGGTCAACATGTAAGAGGTGAACGACTTGTGGAACAGAAAGGCATTCAATCTAACATTCAATCTAACTGTTAAGATTTAGACAATTCCAAAAGTTAAATCAGTTCTGAAGGACAATGCATCTCTTCATCACCTAATGGCAATCCCAAAAAATTCAAAGAACTGTGAATGGAATGTTCAAATATGTAAGTGTCAGTCAAATACAAATTGTCAAGCACACAAGACTCCCAAGTCCCAAGTCAAAAAAAAAACCATGGTCTCATTTTTGACATCAATGCCAATGAACTGAACTACCAAGTACCAACTGAACATGGGTAATAACAGTTTGAAACTGATAGAGCATCAATCAGGAGCCATGAAAGGTAATTATTGATGTAAAGGTCTTTGCCTCAGCAGTTAATACTTAGCTGAATTCTTTCAGGTTTTATCATCGAAACTAATCAATATGGAGTTTCAGAAATCTATGAAAGAGTTGCTTCTCTAATGAAATCCATTACTCATCCTAATGATCGCTGGACAAGAGCACCCAAACCAAGCAAATTAAGATTTTCCAGAAAGGAATGGCTAACATCTATACTGACCTAAACGTTGTCATAGACAACAGAACATACACAGAATTTTAGCTTCACAACCTAAACAATATTACACTTCAGTTCAAGTTAGACATGTCAGCATGCTTATATACTGCATATATGCAAAATAAGAACCCAATTCTTAAAAACCAATTTGCCATCATAGTCAATTTTCCTGGGCCATAACATAATCCATTTTTAGAATTCATATCTTATTAGTTTGCTAGTGAAATCATAATCTCTGCTCAATTTTCAGTGACCCACATAAAGATTTCAACTTTGGGATATTTTTCAATAACTCACCCCATACCCATATGTGCATAACCCCTCAGCCCTAGAATGGTAGAATGTAAAGTGATCTATCTAGTATTAGAGAATAGGTTCCATCATTGAATTTCTATGAAA